GTAATAGGATTGAGTCGATTTAAAAAATTTATTGAGCCAATCGTTACAATTCTTTAAAAACTTTCAAAATAGGCTCCTTCTGCGTCGATGCAGGGCTGCCAGCGCGATTTCCAAGCATTGAAAGCGTCACGGAAGGCATTCTCCGGATGCCGCGGTGCATACTGCTTGGATCCCCTCTGCTTGCCTTTCATCGGCCTTTTCAGGCGAGGAAACAAAAAAAGTACACATCTGGGCTGTAGGGCGGCTGCGGAACCGTTGGGATGCCGTTTTTGGTCAGGTAGCTGTTCACAAGAAAGGCGGTGTATGTGATGTGATTTTGGTAAATTTAACATCTGGGCAATTAAACGAATACTTAGTCGACGGTCTGAGTACAAAACTTTGCGCATACGAGTCACATTATCGGTGTTTGTCGAAGTCGAAGGTCTTCCAGCACGGTCTTCATCAGCGACCTCTTCCCGGCCCTCCAAAAAGCCCTGGTGCCACCGAAACATACCACTTCTTGCTAAAACAACACCTGGGTAAACCTGCTTGATCATATCAAACGTCTCTGTCGCAGATTTACCGAGTTTCACACAGAATTTAATCGCGTACCTCTGCTCTAACGAACGCTGCATTTTCGGCTTGCACCACTCACAGAAACTCGTCTCGCGAAAATGCCTGTCCTGGCTCTCCAAGTGCTCGGAGTCAACTCACCAACTGCTCATTCGTTAGCTAGGAACGCCCTCTACCGAATCCAGTCGGTGCGAGCACGCTCCGAAGTACAGTCATGGCGGAAGAAAATGACTCCTATTACTTTCCGGACAAACCCTGTATTTATGTCGTTGCCGTAATTTTAACTGGCGTGTGGATATTTATAGAATTCGTATTTAGTTGTCTTACCACTTTTTTACAATTCATCATGCAACAGGCACACTTTTATTTATGTTTATTTTAATACACCAAAACGCATACATTTCGGCATAGACACTAAGCGTTTATTCCACTGTCAGTCCGACAACGTTTTCCTTTTTGTTCAACGGGTGCGCTTCGATCCACTTAGTTTCCCCTGTGCACTTTGTTCCTGGCGAATAAACGCTTTGCCCTCGTTTAAAAAAGGTTCGAAACGTCGCACGCTCTGAGACTTCAATGGACATAAACACGTGCTTACTACGGCCAGATACACAAAAAAATGTATCTAAAGTGCCACAAAATATTTATCGGACGTTCCTCTCCCCTGTCCATATAAAATCCGTTGTTTTCCTTTATTTCCGAATTACTCAATGTAAAATACTTTTCGTCGTGTAAAATAATGATTTTTCCATTGGCCCTATGAAAGGTCTCTGTATAGATTCCTCAAAATTGAACGTACATCGATCTCAAACTAGAAAAAAGGTAATAAGCGCAGATTTAGTACATATTCTCATAACTAAAACATGTAAGAGAAATCATTTTATGTTTATGAAATGTCTTGTATGACTGCCAGTATTAACTGTCTAGTTAAGTTGAAAAGAATCTCAGATCCCATGAGAATATTTTTCTATAACGAACAACTTATAAAAATTACCTTTCTCCCCCAGACAGAACGAGGAGAACGGTAGAAAATGACGTCAGGAGAAACCACGTCACGTAGAGGTTGTATTATCTTTATGGGATATGGCGTTATTCGTTTCACTAACCTATATGCCTGTCCAGAGATTTGCTAGTATGTTCTTAGCTTAATCAAGCTATGTCCATGCGGTGCCTGTTTACACGATATTGAACCGAGAGCTCCAAATTCGACTCTTGCCATTGGGATATCGGAAATGGTGACAGATACGAAGTCGGTTAAATTGCCCAAAAGTTGCGCATTTAGGTAACTAACAAAATGCCAATTTAAGAGAAAGATGAAGAAAACCGAACTATCTCAAAATCGTTTTTATTTTTTCCCGTGTCTCTTTAAGATGGGACTGCAATAAAAAGTATAACAACATTGCCACTTTTTCTCCTACAAGATGACATTATTAGATTTTCATTATGACATTTCGTCTCTTGTCCTCAATCATCAACCTTATTTTGTCTTACAGATGTCACATTGAATTATTGTATAGTTTTTAATTCTAATTCTAAAAATGTATAATATGTCTTACATTGACGTTACCAAACCTAAGTTACTTCAAAAGACTAATGTTCTCATAGTTTTCTTTGAAAATGGCAGTTTATCACATATTTATCTAATTAAATCAGGTCCAATTTGAAACACACGGTATACGGGCATTTTCCAAAGGAGTAGAACTGACAGGATTATGCCAGCCATGATTTCTAATTGTGGTTCCAGTAGGATGGTGCCACACAGCATGCGGTGAAATGCCTTAATCGAGGTAAACATTTGACGACCGCATTGTGTCTTGTATTGGGCCTGGCTCATTCTGTTCTGTAGTGCATCTAATCTTAAATAGTAAGCTATAAAATTAATAGCTCATAAGGTCTCCAGCTACTACAAAATTAACAAAATCAGTACCTCCAGCTCTTACAAAATCGGCTGCTCAATTAACAAAAGTGGATCATCAGATTGAAGTTGTGCTGTGCTGTTTCCGAATACGTGGACAAAACTTGAAAATTTTAATATACAGGATGTTGCTTTTGGGTAAAACGGTTTTGTAAACTTTTAACCAGTCCGGTCGTGTATTTTCTTCCCGTTGGTATCACAGATTTCTTGTAATCATCTCCCAATGAAATACCTCATATATTGATCGACCAGCCAAAGATTGCTAGGGACGAAAGGGGGAAATGCGATGAAAAAACCTTACCATTAGACGATTTTATATGGAGTCATAGGCGGAGATCGGAGAGACTTGAATTATTAATTGAATTTATATTTTATTACAACTGGTAGTATTAATATTTTTTTGCGATTCATAATGACGTGATACCAAACATACATTATAAGAAATAAATATACACAAACACTGAATATTGAGAACAAAATAAATATATTTTTTAGGCAACAAGTAATATTCCTATGTACGCATTATGATTGAACAGCAAAACAAATTATGCATTCTTCTAAAATAGAATACAACAAGTCAAAAATATCTGACTGAATAGAAAAATATAGGAAAACAAAAAGTAATTTCTTGATGAAATAACCCATAAACAACACATAGAATTAGACTTTCTACTGAGATACTAAAAGCCACAAACCAATAGTATAATAAATGAATATCTAAAAATTCTAAAAGGTAGCCAATCTAGTATAGTTTCAATCCTGATTAGAGTCATGATCACTGTCTGAGGAACTGTCATTGCTATCACTTTCACCTCCTATGTTGATTATTATTTCTTCCTGTATTTCTTGAATGAGACTGTCTTTTTCCCAATATTCATCTTCAATTTTTATAACATGTCCAATAACCTTTTGCCAGTCACTGGCACTTACTGAAGCGATGGCCTTATTAGAAATTTCATCTAGTTTTTTTATAGTAAATTCGCCGCTTGTATTATGGCTTCTAATGAAAAATTTTACTTGTGCCCAAATCATCTCTATGGGATTAAACTGACACATATAGGGTGGCGTTCGAAGTGGGGTGTGTCCGAAACTTCTTATTAAATTATCTATCTTATAATTTTTCTCATCAGATGGTGGCCTATGTAGACAAGCTATTTCATAAAGCTCCATTTTTTTAGCATTAGGATCATGCTCTATACCTTTTTTGCTCAACCACGTGATGATGTCTCTTTTTAGAGAAGATCTAGTTGGAGGCTTGTCTTCCAAAGCTGAATGGTAAGGTGCATTATCCATTATTATAATACTATTAGGAGGAATGTTAGGAAATAGTTTTTCAGTAAGCCACTTCGTGAAATTTTCTTGGTTCATTTGACCGTGATAATCACCAGTGGCACAGCCAGCCTTGAAAATGAGACAGGCTCCAGGAACAAAACCATCTTGCGAACCCGCATGAACAATTATAAGTCGTCCTGGAAATGAATAAATAGCCTCATTTTAGTGTTATTTTAAGTTTGCCAACACCTTTTTGAATCACTATGTATAAAAAACATATTTTTGAGAAAAAAATACTTGCAAGGGATTATGTATTCAATTAGACAAATTAAATGAGCACTTATTAAGAATATTCCAAAATTGAGAAAAATGTATAATAAGCAAAATCGAGGTGAAAGAAACTTTATTACCTGTAGAACTTATATTGCTCAGGACACCCATAATTTCTTCGCTTTGCCAGCATTTCTTGAAAGTGAGGTCATTATCAACCCAAGTTTCGTCCAAATAAATAATATGCCTTCCTTCTTCCCGGAACTTTTTAATAGACCTAAGATACTTGTATCGCCAATGTAAAATACTGGGTCTTTCCATTAGTAATTTCCTTTTGTTGTGGCATTTACGCCAGTAAAATCCTTTTGCTTTTAAAAGCAGCCTCAACGATTCTTTACCAAATGGAAATTCCATTTCTTCCTTCAGTTTGATTAGAAGTTTACTACAAGTAGGTACCACTTTAAAATCACAGTAAAATTTTTCTATCATTCTCCGAATAATGGAAAAATCGACTCCATCAATTTTTTGGATCACAGAAGGGCGTGATCTCTTTTTTCCGGGAGAAGCTAAAGGCTGTGTGGAGGTTGCATTTTGCATGTCTTTATCTTCTTTTCTAATTTTACTTATAGTTCGTTCACTAACACCCGTATAATATGCCGCCCTTGCATTTCTAGCTACCAGTGGATAAACGAAAGTATTGTTAGCCGCTTCTGCATCGCAAGCACGTATCACGTTTGCTATTATTTCCCTTGCCTGGCTGTGAATAACTTTCCCATGCTTGAATTCCATTATCACCACTAAACAGTAAATTATATTTTCAAAGTATTTGCCAACTGCCTACGCCTATGGGAGTAGGTTTATAAATGACCGTGCCATCGGCACGTTATTCTAGTTTCAGATAAGATAAGAGTTTTGGACCAATCAGCGACCGGATGTTTACCTGCGGCCTGGGTTTTCCAGCTACATTGCCAAATTCAGCGGAACAATTCTATATCTTAAATATGTTAATATGTATGGACCGCATTTTATGTAGAACATCTGACAACTTCGCAATTTTTTGTCCGCATTCTTTCGGCTTGCAATCTTTCGCTGGTCCAACTATACTATGTATAAATATTCTATATAGAATTATGTAAAATGAAAAAAAAATCGCATCTATCCCATCGAGCATAGTTCACAAAGACATAATCTTTTGGTGCTAATCGATCACATGAAAATCATATTTATCATCAACTGATTATCTTTACTTATACACTTGACTTTCAGTCCATAAACTTTCTTTAATCTGTCATCCCTTAACACCCCATCCTAATAAGTATAATACCCTAAAATCCGACCCTGCTTAGGAATTCTCCTCCAGTGTAAGGTACCCTATCGTAAAATACCTGTTTACCTGGTATACGCCAAACAACCCAAAGTTATCAGTTATCCAAAAATATTCGTGAAGAGTGTTACTGGAAGGTCTACAGAATGGTCGTTGCTGTTGTGAATTAAGGTAAGTGTATTTTTCTTATTTTGCCTATCATTTTTACATTTTCGTTATATTTCGCATAATTCGAAGGTTTTGGTTAGTAATATTTCGCCTTATGTTGCCCTTTCATTCTCACCGCATTCATATTTGCAAATAAAGACGTCACATCAGTGACATGTAATATGAAAAGATTCCTTCCTTCTTTTTCAAAATCAATAGAAAAGCTTTTCATTCAATCTCATATTTATTGAATTTCAAAATATTATCTGTTCCCTCTGACGGTTTTTCCCACTTCTACCGTCTTCCCAAATCTCAAATGCCTTTCCTTTACAGCATGATCTACAATTTATTTAATACATACATTTCATTGCCCCTCAAGAAATTTGTGATTTTAATTGCATAGATTTATATACAGGGTGGCCCATCCATGTGTGGACGGAATATTACTCATAAACAAATACATTTTGAGAAAATCTATTTATAGCATGTTATACATGACATTTGAGAGCACATTTATAAAATATTGGCAATTTTACAGGGTGTCCCAATATTGACCTACATATCAAAGTTGTGATTTTTTAAATGGAATGCCTCAAATTTTATTGCATATTTGGATAAACCAATTCAAAAGAAGAAAATTGATATAACATACTATGGGGTTTTGGTAATTAGCTACTGAGATGTAAGGTGTTTTGTCCAGAAAAACCGTCCAATTCGGAAACCCCTCAATCCGCCATTTTGAAATTTGGAGTGCTAAATTTTATATGAAAAAAACTTACACACCTCAGCTTTTATCTTATTTGTTACTTTTCGAATTTTCGTTTTTGCTCATACAGGGTGGTCAAAAATGCGAATTGTACTTTTTCTCAAAAATTTCAAATGCATCACCATGTATATCTGTGCAAGTTTGGATTCCGTTTTATATAAGCTTTTTTTTGGTATCGGTTTGATTCAGATAAAATCACTAGATTTTGAGTTATTACGCTTTTAATAGAACAACACACCAAAATTAAGGAAAAAATCACATCATCCATGGAAACAAAAGACAAACAGTGGGCTAGTTCCATATTGCCACTAAGAGTACAGATTTGAAGTAAAAACTAATAACAATCAGAACAGTATAGATCAGCTTCAAGCGTAATAGAGAAAAACAACTATAACAACAACATAAACAAACAACTATCACTACTCATGATCTAATCTACAAAAACTGCTCAAAAATATCTCCACGATGTTGAATACACAGCTATAGTCTTTGGATAAATGACCGTTGCACATCCCTCAGCATGTGTACCCTTATGTTCAGAAAAGCATCTTTAATCCTTTCCTTCATATTTTCCGGGATAGATAGTGGATATCTATAAACCTCTTGCTTAACGTAGCCCCATAGATGGTGATCTAGGAGGCCAAGATATAGACCCATGACGACCGATCCAACGATTGTTACTCCAGGTGTTCAAATAGTTACGCACACGATTATGATAATGCGCAGGTGCGCCGTCATGTTGGAAGTACATATGCATCCGAGTTTGCAGGTTGACATCCTCCAAAAGCAAAGGCAAATGCTCGATCAAAAAATTCAAGTATTCTGTACCTGTTGTCTGTTGTCGGAAAAGAAATGCCCGATAACTTGTCTGCCAACAACTCCTCCCCAAACATTCAAGCTCCATTTATTTTGGAAACGTATTTGGCTAACTCAGTAAAGGTTTTCCGTCGCATAATAGTGCATGTTATGCCTGTTGACAAGACCTATGCTGTCAAAAGTTGCCTCATCGCTAAAAAGAATCTTATCCAGGAGAGTAGTGTCTTTACTCACTTTATTTAGCAATATTTTACTAAACTCCATTCGAGCTGCGAAATCCTGAGGACGAAGACCTTGATGCAAGAATGGCTGATATGGATGGTACCTATGCTTGTGAATAATACTTTGGACAGAAGTTCTGCATTAGTATCTCCAATTTGCCGTGCACTTAAATGGGGATTTTCCTGCAACTTTAATAGAACCTCCAACTGATTCGAATCATTGGCTCATTGGTGACACTTGGATTATTTATACATTTTTTTTACTATATTCGACTGCTCCACTTGATCCAAAATGTTCTCGTAGTGTGGAAAATGTTTCCGCCCTTGAATGTCGCAAATTAGGGTACCGTTGCTTAACATATGAATGCGAGATGCTAGGAAACTATTTCTTTGGGCTTCGCCCAAAAAGAAAACCTTATTCACCATTTCTTCTTTAGAAAAATTCCGTTTCAAACACGTTTTACTTATAATGCTCACAAAGCTAATTTTGACAGTTTGTAATTAATCAACAATTTATTTGTTTCCAAGGATGATGCGACATTTTAGGGAATTAAGTCGTTCCATAAACGACGTGCTAATAACCGAAATAATAGCCGTAAAAACCCTTATGTGTCTAGTATCAAAAAAAAATCTTATAAAAAATTGAATACAAACTTGCACAAATATACAGGGTGATGCATTTGAAATTTTTGAGAAAAACTACAATTCGCATTTTTGACCACCCTGTATGAGCAAAAATGAAAATTCGAAAAAGTGATAAATAAGATAAAAGCTGAGATGTGTGAGTTTTTTATACAAAATTCAGCACTCCCCTGAGGGGTTGCCGAAGTGGGGGGTTTTTCTAGACAAATATCTTATATCTCAGTAGCTAATTACCAAAACCCCATAGTATATCAATTTTCTTCTTTTGAATCGGTTTATCCAAATATGCAATAAAATTTGAGGCATTCCATTAAAAAAATCACAACTTTGATATGTAGGTCGAAATTGGGACACCCTGTATACTGGCCAATATTTTAGAAATGTGCTCTCAAATGTCATGCATAACATCCCATAAATAGATTTGCCCTAAATGTATTTGTTTATGAGTAATATTCCGTCCACACATGGACGGGCCACAATGTACAATTTACTTAATAGATAATAATAGGTAAGACAGTCGCATTGAGCACCCTGTGAAAGTCAACGTCCATTCTAAACGGCTTGATGTCATATCACATCGTTTGTCAGGTGCTTTATTTCTTACACCGGCTTCAAACTTCATACCACGCTTAAAACATAGTATGGCGACCAATATTGAACGATTACAAGTCTCAACATTCGTGATTAAATTTTTGTTTTCAACAAATCTGGCATCATGGAAAGATTGTAAATGGATAATTTAACTCGGCGGCCATGATGTCGCGCTACAGAGCCATCGTATTTGTTAACCAAACAACTATCCTAACAGCACCTCCATATTATTATTAAAAAACGCTCTTCTATCAATGAATCAAAATTTCATATCCAAATTAGTAAATATTACCTTTTTACGTACGTTTTAAGATTTAAGAATTATCCTTGGTTCTTATGTTTCTTCCAGATGGATCTGAGAAAGGTCGTCATCGTTGCCTTATGCTTAGTAACATCTACATCCATGCCCGCAATATGGGAAAGAGAACCATCACATGAAATTGAGAAACCAATGGAAACCAAACCTAGATTATACCGTGAATTGGTGCTATTTGAAACAGCCATTTTCATTGTAGGGTCTGCACTTGTGGCTTTCATAACAGCTTTTTTACCCCTGGAGGTATGTTTCATCATGGGCAAGTGCCAGAAATTGATGGAACCTTATCGAAAGCAGCTGGACGATGAATTTAGTGGCAACACAGGTAAAATCAGAAATAGAAGAAACTTGGCTCAGTTCGAACCCTATTTGGTAGCGATTTTGGACAGTTTTCTGCAAAATAGAGAGGTGTGGGATTCCCCAAATAAAGTGGAAGTGAACCCGATGTACAAAGAACCACTATTGATCACGCTGGCGAAATATTTTGACAGATATGCAACCACAGAAGTAAAAAGGCACGTGAAGGCGATTTTATTTTTCATTGTACACATATTGGGAAGAATGTATGCTGTTGTTCATTACTTTGTGCGGTACTTAATGAACTATGGACTGATATAATTATGATTTACGCAAGGTAATAATAACTTGTTTTGTATTAAAGCTAAAACTATATTAATTGTGTATTACTTGTCTTTATTATATTATTACCTTATTATTTTCCTGCAGTTTTGTAAATTATGGAACCGATTACGAATACTGGTTCCCCCATTTTTTAAATTTGGTGATTATTATCTAGATCTGTCATCAGCGACTTGGAAAACCTCGAAAACTTTTTCTTGAAAATGGTTGATATCGAAATCAAACATGAATAAATTTGTTTAAACAACCACAGGTAGCATTACGTTGATGTAGATGAAACAGTCAACACTATCAAGACACGTTCCAATTTCCGAAAATATTATTTTCAACTCATTATTATACAAAGGTGTGAAAAATTAGCAATACATTGCGTTTGTCTCAAGTGAACTAAATGAGTTAATACTTTTCTTTGGATTATGTAAATTCTAACACAGCGAAACTCAAAACTGATGAATTTTTAAAAGAGCAAAAGACTTTTTGGATTCCCTGTCGAATAACATGTATATCTTGATGACGCCGTTTTGTGGCTACAACGGCAACTCCTTCAGGGACCTGTTTCTTTGGAATCAAGAGGTGCTTCACAAATCAAGACGATCCAATGGTTTCAGAATAGTCCCAAGAGTCGCATAGAGTTTTCGACTTAAAATGTTCCACATTTAGTAATGACAGACAAAATTTTTTGCATCACAAATTATATCAGTTGCATAAAAAATGCGAGAATTTCAACCCTAACGTTAACCTGACAACTGATAAAGCTCGATTATCTATCAAAACTGAATTTTTATTGTGATATTAATGTCTTCATAAATGTTTACCGTCTTCAACCGCACATAAGCCGGAACAAATGGCTTCTTGGCAATGGTCGATTGCTCATCAAAAATGAACCATCGTTTGGATACGTTTTATAGGTTAGGGTAGAGTACTCCATTAAACTGATATTTCTGCGTTCACCAGAAGTAATCCTCTTAGTATGTAGACAAAAACAATATTGATATCAAAAGCCCACATATTTTGCAATGAGGGGATTCGCGCTTACATCTTAATGTGCAAAATTTCAGTTCATATATTTGTGAAGAAGTTAAGCTGAGTGGTTAATCTAAAACACTCACCTATCCTCTTTACTTCCTTCCATCTTGACTAGCTCTACACCATCACCCACTTTTATCACTTCAGAATAAATGGCTCTGTCCACTGCTATCAACAGCCTTTTCTGGATGCATTTTTTGATGGTAGGAAGTGCTTTTTCATCGGTAGCGTTTACTTTGTTTAAGATCAAGCATTTTTGGATGAAGTTGCCTGTAGTAGTTAACCAATGGTTGGCTTCACCGAGTGCGAGCAGTGGGATCATGAAGGCATAGACGGCTTGCCGAAGAAGGATCATCCTGGAAAAAAATGAACTACGTCAAAAATATATTTCCATTTTTGTCTGAGAAAAACTAGCAATATAGCTCTCGTTCGTTCGACCTCAGACTCCCAACCATGGACAGCTGTTTGGTGCTTTTTGGCAACTCATCAGCGTGGTCTAGGCCTGGTCTCAGGTGGGACAATGAACGAAAGCTGAACAACTGTCCTCTATTCAGAGTATAAAGTCTATCGAAATAAGACTTCACCAGAATCGAGTTCTGTGAGCGTTAAAACAGCAATTACCTCTCTGTTGGAACTGTGTCCCAGTCTCCCAGTTCGCATTGTCAATGGCGAGTAGACCGTATCTACTACAGCACCAGAATCGGTGGCACCTAGCGGTCCTGTGGGGACGCGGCTGACAATGCCAACTGGGATACAGTTCCAACAAACAGCTTGATGTTTTCACTCACAGAGTGATCGATTCTGGAAATAGACGGTTTTTTTCTTACTTTTGGGTGGGTTTTCGCGTTCTTGAAATTGCGCGTTTTTTCGAGGCGACGAACAAGAGTGGTGTATCTGGTACATCCAAAAGAACAACGATCAGCGATACAACTCCCATACGTGGGAGATTTTGTATAATCCCAAATATTTTGATTTCGAGATACGATGTTTTTTGACTGTATCATGGAAGGAAAAACCACATGACTCAAATTTATTGTTTTGGCAATGACAAAATAATTCCGTAGTTGTTGGAAATGTATCAACAGGTTTGGCCTCAAGTTGGTTGATTTTGCAACGCCGTCATCAGTTCGTAAAGGGCTATGTTCAGCACAAATTAGACCCCATCGAAATAAAATAGCGGTACAGACCTTATATGCTGGATCGAGAAAAGTTTCTATGCTTTTGTTCATTGTCCCAGAAACCAAGCCTAGCCAATGCTGATGAGTTGTCAAAAAAGCATGAAAAAGCTGTTCATGATTAACTACCTTTGGTCGGATAGACGAAAGTAGCACTTTTAAGCTCGATCCCCTTAGAAGAAAGTTAGTTACGAACATGCATAACAGATAAATTAAACGGATTGAGTCCATTCCTCTAGTTTTAAGGACAGATGTACGAGAAAATCTATAATCTGTGAAAGATGTATAATAGGTGCTTAGAATTACAGGATCGGGAAGTGTAATCAATATACTAGGATCAAAAAATTGCGACACATCCTCTCCCCAAACCTCACATTAATGCGTTCCTCAATTTTCTAAACTTATTAGGGTTATCTGAAATTTCAAAACAAGAATAAATACCACAAAACTTTTTCGTCATTGGCATAGTGGTAACGTTGTGTAAAAATTAAATCCAAATCCGAGCAGTACTTTCTAGGTTATAGAGAGGTCAAGGATTACCGGAAAGACCGACAGACAGACTGACAGATAGATCGATAGACTTACAAACCGACAGACAGAGAAATCTGCAGACAGACAAACAGACAAACCGAAAGACAGATCGACAGACAAACCGACGGAAATTATTGACATAATTTTTCGTGATGTACATATCATATAAGGTCCACAAAACATACTTCATTTTCGACATTTTTCGCGATTATAATACTTCCTTCCGCCAGTGAAGCGTCGGAATTGAAGATTGCAAGATTAAAAAAAGTGTAATATTGATGAATAAAAGTTTCACTTTGCAAATCTACTGTTGGGTTTTTTCTCTAAAAAAGTACAGTTGACCAAGAATAAATCCACATTTGCCGTTTTGAGGTTATGTTATTTAAACAACTACAATATTTCGGATCGTTTAAAAATCACTTACTCGGAATGAAAAAGAAATTCGTGATAAAATGTTTTTCTATAATAGGTTACTCTTTACTGTTCTTATCAGTAGGAATTTACCTCCCACGTCTAATGATATTTTAGAAAATGAGATATTATATTTTTTGGATGTAATACGACATGACATTTACATCTTGTACATCTTGGAAAACCATGTCATTCATTTTCGTCGGTCTGTCCGCCTGTCGGCCTGTCCGCTAATCTCATAACCGCCTATAACTTGAGAAGTACTGCTCGGATTTTAATGATTTTTTTTTACACAATGTTACTACTAAGCCAAGGACGCAAAAGCTTGTTTTTGAAAATCGGTCCAGTGGCGGAGGAGATAAAAGCCAAAAACGAAATAAGTAAAAGTCGCTCAAACTTCGTTTTTTCTCGTTTCAGACGATCTTGATCATTTTCGGAAAAACTTTTGTAGGGGTTAGAAGCTGGAGGCTAGAAGGTTGCAGGGGTTGGGAGAGGGTATATGTCAATTTTTTGACCTTGGTATATTTATACGCCTATTAATTCTACACACATATTAATAATAATAATAATAATAATAATAAAATGTATTTATTAGGCACATTATATACACTACAACATAATGTGACCTCTACGTAGGCGAAGTCTAGCTCTTGGCTACTCTACTTAACCTACCCAAATACTAAATTGAAACACTCAATCAAAGGAAACTTTGACAAGCAAAAGACGCTTCAAAACAACGAGCTTGATAGCTTCCTAGCATACATATATACACACATATATTACGTAAAATAAAATTAAATGTAAGAATTAAAAACTAACTATTCCACAATTACTACAATGACAAATAAATCTGTTTCACATGCTTACGAAATCTGTTTACTGGCCAATCCTTTATATTGTCATCTAATTCGTTATAAATCAGGATAGCATTGTAAGTGTATGAACTACGAAATAAAGTTGTTTTATACATAGGGATCTCTAGTCTTTTTTTGTGTCTGAAATCATTGTCTGAATTATTTCGTCTGAAAACAAATTTCTCATAAAGATACAAGGGGGATCTAGAAGATATGGTCTTATGTGTAAACACTGCTATATGGTACTTGCAAGCATTTTCTATACACATCCAACTAAGCTGAAATCTCTTTAAGGAAACATGATCATACTTCTTGAGATTAAATACAAATCGACAACAAGTATTTTGGAGTTTTTGGAGTCTTGCTTTTGTGATAGAATCAAGACAATGATAGAACACAGTGCTACAGTAAAATAAGCTTGGAAATATAATAGCCTCACATAACTTTTTTCTAACTTTAAAATTCAAAATAGAGCGATTGACATAAAAACACTTCAACGTTGCATAACATTTTTTTAAGATAGACGAAACATGCTCCTTAAACCGTAAAGTATAATCAATAATCAACCCTAAATTTTGTGTAGTATTTACGACAGCTAGACGCTCCTTGTCGATTTTTACATCAAGAGAATTCAATACAGTGTTACGTTTGACAGCAGGACAAAAAAGCATCACTGAGCACTTATCCTTATTGAGCTTAAGATTATTACCATTTGAGTATCCTACTATTGCCTCCAAATCATCATTAAGCTCATTGATTGAAGTATGCAAAGTGTTACTATTAAAGCTTTTATATATCTGTGTATCATCGGCATAGCACATCGCAGAAGAGTTTTTCACAGAGCTACCCAAGTCTATAGTATAAATTAAGTTACAAATTCACTCATCACATGTCTCCGTACATTGGCCCTTAAGATTTAGAAATATCTTCTATAGTCGGGTGTCGATAGAAGCGACGTCCTCTCCCGATGGACAAGCGTCGCCGTCGGTGGTCGTACGTCACAGCTGGCACTCGTTTCCACACAACTGTGACCTGAGTGCACTATGCATGGTAAAGGCCATAATCGTCATTCACACGGGATTTGTCATCGCAACGATCACTTGCACCTGCAGCAATTTCTCTCAGGGTTAGGAGGAAGGTCATTTATTTTTTATATATGTTTGTAGCAAGCTCAATTTTGCTGAACAGAGTCCTTTATAAACTGAAGTCAGCGTTGCGTGAAAAGAGCAGAGTCAATCTACTTGACTCCATTTTGTTAATCCTATTTTCAAACTGCCTAAGGAAATTTGGAAAAGCTCCTCTTGTAGATTGTTCCACAATCTCGACACCCTCGGGACAAAGGAGCTGACGTATCGGCCAGTTTTGGATGTACGAAGTTCGACACGGTTAGGGTGGGAGGCCGAAGTCAGGCGGACCCGCCTGGCAGGCACATCGCGCGGCGGCATCATAGAGGAGAGCTCCGAGGAGCAAAGCCCGGTGGTGTAGCGGTAAAAGAGAGCTAGATCGTCGGCGACCCGCCGGTGCGAAAGTTTCCCGAGATTGTCCGTTGGAGAAGAGTCATCGATCAGTCGGACAGCCTCTGAACAACATCTAGCATAAATAATGTAGTCGGGCCGGCAGCACCTCAAACGTGTGAGTAATACTCGAGGCTAGGTCTTATCTGGGCCTTGCATAGAGTGAGGAGGTTATGAGGAGAAAAGTACTTCTTAGCCCTAAACAAATAACCTAGCTTTTTCCCAACAGCTGCCGCTATTGACAAGATGTGTTCGTGCCAGATCTAGTCCTCGGTGATCTGGACTCCAACGAGTCGAAATGAACGGCTCTTTGGCAGAACTCGACCATCCCTCGAAACCGAAAGAGCTCTAGGGTGCTTCTTGTTAGTCAAGCTACAGTACTGTGTCTTAGAAGCATTACTCCATTACAAGATTGTGGCGTCCCCAAGCAGTGCTCTTTCGCTGCTCTCGTCCTTCTTCTAGCTCATCGGCAGAGCTCGGCTTGCCGCTCTGAATTCCTGCATGTAGAGTTCTGTCATCAGCAAAGCTGTGGATTGGGTTGATCGTACAGGAAAGGTCGTTGATATGTAAACAGTGTCGATCTTATTCCTGTGTTATCACAATTCAAATAGATACAAAATCGGGGTGAACTTTTTCATAAAGATGAGTTCGATACGGAGGCAAACCATTATGTGAGTATGGAATGCAACCACTAAGGTTACTGAAAATATTGGAGGCAACAAAATGGAAGTGCTAAGGGATACGGAATCTTGCAGCATTTTGTTTAAGTTGGTACATAAAATGTTGACTGGCTGTTCTTGCCTCCTGTTAAACTAGACCTTTCCTTCAGATGTTAATAAAACAAACGCACAAAGTATGAAGAGCGGCAATT